GGGAAGTAATTTGATATGTTCTAGCAGCAAGATGAAATGAGCACGTAAGCCAATAGCCTAAGAGAGATTACATAGCATCTCCTCCCATTGCCAATTAAACATCTTATCATTAATACAGGCCTAACACGCTAAACAAGCCAACATAAACAAAGAGACAATTTAATGACAACTTTGTCTGTTGGAGTTATTATGTGTCTACAGAGAGATGGTCTGCCTCGCACTGGCGCGGTCCTTAGATTATAGGCCCATTATCTAGGATTGAAGGAAAACAGTAAGAACAGATCATACCCACTAAATTAACAAGATTATTTTGATACCAGCTGGTGTCTTATCTGGATGAGGCCCCTTGGAATGTGGTTACCAGGGAGACTATGCCTTCTTCTCAGAGTCATGCTGATCTTCCTGTCCTGTGTTGTTCAAATCACAGGCTTGTCTCAGATTTTAGGACTGAATAGGGGTTCTTAGCGAAATACCATGGACTGCCTCAGTTTACCTTACATTTTAAAAAGAGCTAGATAAATTCATGGAGGTTAGATCCATAAAAGGCTATTAGCTAGGAGGTAAGGAATGCTGTCCTTGGCCTCTGTTTGTCAAAGGCTGGAGATGGATGTCAGGAGACAAATCACTTGATCATTGACTTAGGTCCACCCCTCTGGGGCACCTTGCACTGGCCACTGTCGGCAGTCAGACTACTGGGCTAGATAGACCTTTGGTCTGACCCAGTATGGCTATCCTTATGCTCTTATTTGGAGCTGAGCCCATCTGAAGTGACAACCAGAACATCCATTTCTGTGTGGAGTGCACCAGCTTTAGTGAGGAAGCCCTTGGCACCAAAGAAATATTCTGGGACTAAGGCTGCTTGGCACCTGCAGGACTTCTCCAGGACTGAAGAGCTCCTTAAGCATTGAGGATAGCACCCATGCTGAAAACAGTTGAGTGCGAGAGCTCAAATGGAGTGTGATCCATGCTGAGCCACTTCAGCTCCATGCCATCTAGTGTGATACCATTGACTCCAGCCCTGCTTGAGGGGTCCATTGAATTCACTGTCTCTGGACTCCCCTGCAAGGATTACCGCAGAGAGACTTTAGAGCTTTCCGCCACACCAGAAGCTTGCGAGGCAGCTAGGCACCTCACAGTCCTTATGGCACTGCTGTCTTCCACCGTGTGTGAGGGCACTGGATGCCAAACCACTTGTGCCATCTAGAGGTGAGCCATCCATGTCGTGGCACTGGTTGTCTTCTCCCTGGCACTGGTCCTCGATGCCATCCAGCACTGCACCATCCTGGTCTCTGAGAGACTCTTCGCCATGGGAGGCAGAGTCTTCTGTCTTGAGGAGAAGTCAGTACCATTTGCAAAATCAGCATTCAAGGTCTAAAGCGGGCAGTCTGTCCCTCCATGCCTTGGCTGGTGCCATGGCAAGTGCCTGCACAATGGCACCTTTGGACCCTCGTGGGCATTTCAGCAGGCCCAGGGTTTGTTTTCAATGGGGTTGCTATCAGTTGCATCAGAAGGAAGAGCTCTTCTGCTGTCTCTTTCCACCCACAAGCGTGAGACTGACACTGAATCAGGGCTATGAGATTGACACCAAGTCTGAAGAACCAGCACCATTCAATCTTTGAACCACAAGGGCAAGAATAATACTCTGTACTGGTCTGAGCATCTTCCTCTTCATCTTCTGATGAAGTAGTGGTGGGGACTTCTGTAGCACCCATCCACAATGATAGCAGGGCTCTCAGCTGCTCCTAAGAGTGGCCCAAAATGTGGGACTCCAAGTAGAGGAGATGTCAGAGTCCTCAGATCCCATAGTGGACATCTTGACCCATCATGGCCATCTTCAGCATCCCAATCTTGAGTCTCTCCACCTCATGGCATGGAAACTGCATGGCTAAAACCCTTGGAGTTGGCATGCTCAGACCCATTAGAGAGGTCCTCCTTGGCAGCAGAAAACCATCTATTAGGGTAGAGGTGGGCAATAAAACAGCAGTGGTTCACCAGGGTTAGTCCCTGGTGGGTCGCTGTTGCAATATTTACCTGCGCCTCTGCGGGTATGGACAATTGCAGCTCCTGTTGACCAAAGATCACTGTTCCCAGCCAATGGGACTTGCGAGAAGTGGTGTCTCAGTCCATGCCACTTCCTGTAGCTTCCATTGGCTGGGAACGAAGCAGCATGGACTAGGACACCACTTCTCAAAGGTCCCATTGGCCAGGAACAGTGATCTGCGGATATGGGATTTGCAATTGCCCATAGCTGAGGAGGCAGGTAAATATAGCATCAGTGGCCCACCAGATGACCCCTGAGGAACCAGATCCTGCCTGTGAATACAGAGGCAAAGAAAGCATTGAGTACTTCAGCTTTCCCCACATCATCTGTCACTAGGTTACCTCCTTCATCCAGTAGAGGCCGCACACACTCTCAGATCACCTCCTTCTTGTTAACATGCCTGTAGAAACCTTTCTTGTTATCCTTCACATGCTTAGCCAGTCGCAATTCCATTTGCGCTTTCGCATTCCTGATAACCCCCCAGCATTCTCGAGGTATACATTTAAACCTCTCCCTGGTCATTTGTCCAACTTTTTGTAAGCTTCCTTTTTGTGCTTAAGTTCACGAAGGATTTCTTCTATAAGCAAATCTGGTCTCCTACCATGTTTACCTCTCTTGCTACGCATTGGGATGGTTTCTTTCTGTGCCTTCAGTAAGGCTTCTTTAAAATACTGCCAGCTGTCCTGGATTCCTTTCCCCTTCATGTTAGCATCCCAGGTGATTCTGCCCATCAGAATACAATAACAAGATTAACGGGGTCTTCATTGGAGCCCATGTCAACTTGTTCACTGGTCTGCCTATGTTGGAACATAAGTTTTCTGATGGCTGTCACTTCAGCCAGGTAGCTTTCTGAACTAAAGGCCTTCACCTCTGAGCTCCCATCCATGATCTTCTATAAGGACAATATTTGACAATGGCCTCAAACAGCATTCCTTCTGAAGGTAGTCTCACAGTTCCACACAAACTAATACATTTCTACTCATAGTAGCACGCCAACAGCCAAGAGCATAAACTCCATTCCCTGGACGTAAGACTGGTGTTGGTCTTTTATACTGAAAGGACAAAATTGTTTCAGAACACAGCTCTGCTTTTTGTAGCAATAGCAGACAGAATAAAGGTGACATCACAGTGGATCACATTGTGTATTTGTGCATTTTATGACTTGTCAAAGATAATCTGTTTCTGCATTGACAACAGATTCCATTAAGGCTCAGGCATCTTCAGCAGCTTTTCTGGCACAGGTCCCATTCCAGGATATCTGTGGAGCCACAACATGGTTGTCTATGCATATCTTTGCTTCACACTATGATATTGTACAGCAAGCCAGAAACGATGCCAAATTTGGCAGAGTAGTATTTCAATTTGTGAATCCATGATGCAAACTGCAAGATTCTGACCTCTGAGCCCTTCTCATAGGGCCTGCTTGGGAGTCATCTATTTGAAATCACCCATCCACCTTTCTGTTGGTGTCAGCCAGCAAGAAGAAACTGAAGAGGTTGAGGATTGGCAGGACCCTATATGTGGCACAATGAAGATGCGACTCCAGGGGACGGCAAAGCTGATCCTACGGATAGCACTGGGAAAAAAAACTTCTGGTGATTGTGTATGTAATACAAACACACCTACTTGGAATCGACATGAGGACCACATCTTGAAGAACTGCCTTTTCAGTCTGCCTGCTTTATTCAGTCTGCCTGCAGACTCTGATAAACTTCGTGGAATTCATTTAAGTTGGGGGTACATTATGACACTTGTCATCACAACCATAAGACTAGACATTTCATTTTAAAAATGAAAGTTGAGACCCTGCAGTACAAGATAGCAGTTTTCCTAGGAAAGCTTCAGTTCTCTCAACTGGCAAAGCCTAATCCCTTAGGCTTTAAGCTGCTGCAGAAATAATAATCACACTCAGAAAAGTGAGACTTAGGGCCTGTCTCCTGGAATTGGGTATGTATGAAGAAGTAGTATTTCTTAGAATGGACAGAAGGGATCATTATAATTATCTGATTCTAGACTGATCTCCTGCACAACACAAGTGATAGAATTGCACTCCATTATTTGTACACTGAGCCCAGTAACTGGTGCACTTCCCATAATACACAGTCAACCTGTGGAACTCATTGCTAGGGGCCTTTGTAAAGCCAAAACAACAACAGGATTCGAAAAGGAGGATAGGTACATCAATGGCTGTTAGTCAAAATGGTCAGGGATTCAATCCCATGCTCTGGCTATCTATAGACTCTGCTTGCCAGAAGATGGGAATGGATCATTCAGTGACTGCCTGTTCTGTTCATTTTCTCAAAAGCATCTTGCACCATCCATTGTCAGAAGACATGATATTGGCTAGATGGGCCATTGGGCTATCCCAACAGGGCTATCCTTATGTTCTTATGTAACTTGTGGTTGAACTAGAGCATCTTTTAGAAAGATACCCAATCTAAATTCAGAGATTTCAAGTGATAGAAAATCCACCATATCCATGGGTAACCCGTTCCAATATTCAATTATCCTGTTAAAATTGTTTCTTTATTTTCCTTTTAAATGTGTCTAGTTTCAGCTTTTAGAGATTGAATTTTATGTTTCTATCCACTTTATTAAAGATCTCTCTATTATCAGATTTTTTTCTAACTTTTTCATGCTGTGCTATGAAAACTGTAATGGTCTCTGTGTTACTTTCTGCATCCCTGTCATATCATTCGGTTGTCTTACTGTACACTTAAACTGTAAGTTCTTAGAGGCAGGCACCGTCTCTTTGTTATATTATGTTAATGTACAAAGCATAGTAAAGTATGGCACTGACTGGGGCCTCTAGGTGCTGCTGCATTATAAATAATAACAATGGAGAAACCATCTTCAGCCCCCCTTGCTTTCCATGTGGGTGCTTGGAACCTATGTCTTCTGGTACACATGGCTGAGAGTTGCTTTGAGTTTTGAGTTGCAATGACTGTTTTTATTGCAGGCCTTCATTGCAATGGTGAAGAGGGAGCAGGAAGAAGCTGAACGGGAGAGACAGAAAGAGGAAGAAGAAAGGAAGAAGCAGCGAGAAATACAACAAAGGAAGAAACGGATGCTGGAGGCAGCATTCGATGGGGATGTGGAAGAGATGAAAGCTGTGCTAAAGGAAGTTAGTACATGATAAGGGGGAGAGGTTTTATAGGAATTGGAATACACATCAGAAAGAAAAAGACCTCAGATCCTTTTCTATGAGCTCTGATCATTTTCAGATTAGTTGATTTGGATCATAGTCCACTGTAGAAATTGTTCCTTCTGAAACATGATTTATGCAAGAGGCCCCAAGACTCCTGGTTCCTCTCCTCAGAGACTTGCTTATTAGGTAACAAAAGACGAAAATGTAAATGAAGTAGGAAGCTAGTAAGGTGCGTACTATGCATTGTGGTTGCCTCATGCTGTGTTTGTCTCTTCCTGCCTCTTTTTCTGTATATTGCCTTCTTTGATTGCAAACTGTGCAGTTCGGGGAAGCTGCTTTATGTCTGGAAAATACCTGAAGCCTCACAACAATATAAATAAACTGTATCCAAAAATCTTTCTTCACTAATCTTTCAGCTAACACACAATTCCCACGGATAGCCAGAGCAGAAGGCATTCTTTTCCCATTCTCCGTTTTAATCCTCTCCTTCTGTCTGTCTCTATCCAGGTATCAGATTTGGATACTAAGAATGGTGTGGGCAGTGATGAAAAAGGGAAGGCCATACGTCTCTTTAATCACATCAGAATGGTGGAGTGCACGGATGCCAATGGGAATACTCCCCTCTCGGAGGCAGCAGGAGGCGGCCATCCGAATGCTATCAAGTTGCTGATAGAAAATGGAGCCAACCCCAACTGCAAGGTATGAAGTGGTGGTGGTGGTAGAAGGAAATAGGCCACAACTGAAATGGAAACTGTGAGATTCAGAAAAACAAGATTCACAGCAACCTGAATAAACAATGAATAGTCTAACAGCACCTGAAGGAAGTGGGTTGTACCCACGAAAGCTCATGATACCATCTACATGTTTTGTTAGTCTTTAAGGTGCCGCTAGACTATTCATTGTTTACGTTTTTCCTCTTACAGACTAACTTGGCTACCCCTCTGAAGCTTTTGAATAAACAATGTTATGAAAGATAATTTGGCCATACTGGAGCTCAGCTAATGTGGTATGTGTCTAATTGTGTTTCAGTACTCCACTCAGACTTGCTCTAATGGGGATAAGAGGGCAAGGTTTAATCCTTAGCAGGTAATTAAAGCTTAAGTAATTGCAGGTCCAGAATTGATAACCATGTGGTAGTGATCTCCAAAGTAGTAAATAGTTAGGACTGGAGGAGCTGTGTTAAGTTCTTCTCTAGCAGAATCCCCAGGACAACAATTGAAGGGGATTCTTCATATGATTGTTAATGAATTGTAGTCTTTGTGCACATTGTACCATGCGTATGAAGATGGATTCTTTTGACCAGAAGTGTCCATCAGTACCTTTGTAACCCTAATAGAAGTGAGACAGAATCTAACATTAATGTTGAAGTGGTTAGGACTTGACTATGTACTGAGATAATGCATGGCAGGTCTGTACACTGTAGATTCACACCTTGGCTTCCCACATGTTAACTTGCCATTTATACAAGCCCTTAGCATTATTAATTAGTTACTTTGAGTCTGTAAGCCTCTTAGTCATGTTAGGCTCAACAGTCAAAGAACAGCCAATAGCCTAACAAAAGTTCCTCTGCCACTTCAGTGCTTAAAGATATACTATTGGTACCCACTAAACCTGTGGGTTGCCTTTCCTTCAGCATCAGTCTCGATACTAATTGCTTCAGTAACTTGCTGATTGGTACTCAGTGCATAGGTACAGTCCCTGTCAGTACATAGAGCACATTTGGTACCAAAGGTTTTAGGTGTAACCTAGGTACGGGAGTGACCATTGCTAGACAGTTTGTAGATGAGGCTAAAGCATCAGTCACAAGACCTCTGTATCAGTAGTACCAACTCCATCACATCCCTTGGTAACCTGTTCCAATACTCAATTATCCCATTAAAATTGAATGGGATACAATTTTCTGTGTCTCACTTTTACATCTTTTCTCATCATCACTTATTAAAGGTTATTATGACATCTTATGAACTCTGACACTTTGAGTGCACAAGATGAGGGCCCGCAAGAGACTTTAAAATATTGTACTATAGGCTTGTGTTAAAACTCCCACCATCACCGATTCCCTGGCCTTGGATTGGTATCTCTGCCACCACTTAAATGCAAAACCCCTTTGAAAACCTAGAAAGGCACACTTGGGAATTCCTTCCAGTGAGGTATCCTCAGGCTCTTTAATCCTCCTTCTGGAGAGAGCTTGAAAACTTAGCTATTGCAATCAGCTGAAAAGGGAAAATTAATTTTTCTTAGTAATTAGACTGCCGTCTTAGACATGTGCACAAAGAACCTACCACCTTCTAGGACACAGGAATCAGATAATGTTTTTAAAAGAGTGATTTTTATTAAAAAACACATTTGGTGAAACATTGGTTGGTTGCTAGTGTTACAGAGTAACTGAAAAAAGGATTTAAAAATACAGAGAATTATTTCCCTGGGATTCATCTTTGAAAGTTGCAGTGTTGGGATAGTTACATGTGCTTAGCACAGAGAAATCCAACAAACCCCAAAATAAAGAAAATAATCTTATCTCATTTGACTAAACATTCCCTGTTCTACTCACATATTTGTAGTTTCAAGAATTAGTTCTTCCCTGGACATGGATGTTGCTGTATTCTCCATCCTTGGCTCCTCACTAATCCTTCCAGGGGCTCTGCTCTGGCCATACAACAGGAGCAGGAAGGATCACTGCTTCCAATTCAAAAGCCTTTACTCTGTTTCCATTGGCTGTCCTGGACTCACACCTATTCACTTCCTGGGGACTCTTTAGGAGTCACTGTTTATGGTTTTAACACTTACTGGCATGGTAATTAGGGACAGATCTGAAGAGTTAACTACGGAGAAAAAAATTTAGCTAAGCAAAGGACTGGAATGCCCAGAAAATTGTATTAGTCCCCCCCATTCCCACTCCATTCACTACAAATCGATACTCAATTTTTACATTTGACCTCATAGTTAGGGCCCAGTTATCACATCAGATGGTATGCAATTCTAGATCTAAGTTCATCTGTCACTTTGGTCAAAATGGTCATGTTAGCTTTCATAATCTCTCTTCTAGCACCTCAAGATTACTTCAGGGCACAGCCTCTAGGAAGCAGATGCATATATACATCCAGCCCACAGGAAGTACCTTTGTTTCCTAATAGGAAATTTACATTATCAGGCCAGTGTGTTATTGTGTGGATATTTGATTTCACCGAGCGCATTTACCATGTGCCTGGTGGTCAAGGATTTGCATTTATCCATGTCTTCATGACTGGCTGATTTGAAATGCCTCCAAGGCGATCTATTACACTGCCACGTTACCACCGTACATACTACTCGAGATCTCCATGTCACCATTCCCGTCGCTCACAATCCCCGGGATCCCCTCTTCGCTCGTGTTACTATCGTCATAGGAGCGCTACTTCTTACTCTCCGCAATATTCACACCATGACTCTCATTACTATAGGTGCACCTCGCCCCATCGTGATCGTTCACGTTCCTTCACAAGGCCTTCACCCCCCTCATTTCCAGAACGGCAGCAGTTATGCTCACCACGACCAATAACCCAGGACTCTATCCCGCTGGCTCAACACCCACCAACGCCTACTGGTGATGCGTCAACAACTTCTGCCCCGCACAGCGATGTCACTCAGTCACCTGTCGCAGAGCAATGACCCACAGCTTCTCCAACAGATATCTCTTCCTCCTCCCCAGACGACGCAGTATTTAATGATGAACCCTCTCTCGTGGATGATTACAAACAATTCCACAAACTTTTTAAACGGGTAGCTTATTCACAAAATCTACGTACCTCTTAGAATCATAGAATCATAGAATCATAGAATAATAGGACTGGAAGGGACCTCGAGAGGTCATCGAGTCCAGCCCCCCGCCCTCAAGGCAGGATCAAGCTCCGTCTACACCATCCCTGACAGATGTCTATCTAACCTGTTCTTAAATATCTCCAGAGAGGGAGATTCCACCACCTCCCTTGGCAATTTATTCCAATATTTGACCACCCTGACAGTTAGGAATGTTTTCCTAATGTCCAATCTAAACCTCCCCTGCTGCACTTTAAGCCCATTACTCCATGTCCTGTCCTCAGAAACCAAGAGGAACAAATTTTCTCCTTCCTCCTTGTGACACCCTTTTAGATATTTGAAAACCACTATCATGTCCCCCCTTAATCTTCTTTTTTCCAAACTAAACAAGCCCAGTTCATGAAGCCTGGCTTCATAGGTCATGTTCTCTAAACCTTTAATCATTCTTGTCGCTCTTCTCTGTACCCTTTCCAATTTCTCCACATCTTTCTTGAAATGTGGCGCCCAGAACTGGACACAGTACTCCAGCTGAGGCCTAACTAGCGCAGAGTAGAGCGGCAGAATGACTTCACGAGTTTTGCTTACAACACACCTGTTAATACAACCTAGAATCATATTTGCTTTTTTTGCAACAGCATCACACTGTTGACTCATATTCAACTTGTGGTCCACTATGACCCCTAGATCCCTTTCCGCCATGCTCCTTCCTAGACAGTCGCTTCCCATCTTGTATGTATGGAACTGATTGTTCCTTCCTAAGTGGAGCACTTTGCATTTCTCTCTATTAAACCTCATCCTGTTTACCTCTGACCATTTCTCTAACTTGCTAAGGTCATTTTGAATTATGTCCCTATCCTCCAAAGAAGTCGCAACCCCACCCAGTTTGGTATCATCTGCAAACTTAATAAGAGTACTCTCTATCCCAATATCTACATCATTGATGAAGATATTGAACAGTACGGGTCCCAAAACAGACCCTTGAGGAACTCCACTTGTTATCCCTTTCCAGCAGGATTTAGAACCGTTAACAACAACTCTCTGACTACGGTTATCCAGCCAATTATGCACCCACCTTATCGTGGCCCTATCTAAGTTATATTTGCCTAGTTTATCAATAAGAATATCATGCGAGACCGTATCAAATGCCTTACTAAAGTCTAGGTATATGACATCCACCGCTTCTCCCTTATCCACAAGGCTCGTTATCCTATCAAAGAAAGCTATCAGATTAGTTTGGCATGACTTGTTCTTCACAAACCCATGCTGGCTATTCCCTATCACTTTATTACCTTCCAAGTGTTTGCATATGATTTCCTTAATTACCTGCTCCATTATCTTCCCTGGGACAGACGTTAAACTGACCGGTCTATAATTTCCTGGGTTGTTCTTATTCCCCTTTTTATAGATGGGCACAATATTTGCCCTTTTCCAGTCTTCTGGAATCTCCCCTGTCTGCCATGATTTTTCAAAGATCATAGCTAAAGGCTCAGATACCTCCTCTATCAGCTCCTTGAGTATCCTGGGATGCATTTCATCAGGACCTGGTGACTTGCTGACATCTAACTTTCCTAAGTGATTTTTAACTTGTTCTTTGTGTATCCTATCTTCTAAACTTACCCTCTCTCTGCTTGTATTCACTACGTTAGGCACACCTCCAGACTTCTCGGTGAAGACCGAAACAAAGAAGTCATTGAGCATCTCCGCCATTTCCAAGTTCCCTGTTACTGCTTCTCCCTCCTCACTAAGCAGTGGGCCTACCCTGTCCTTGGTCTTCCTCTTGCTTTTAATGTATTTATAAAAGGTCTTCTTGTTTCCCTTTATGCCTGTAGCTAGTTTGATCTCATTTTGTGCCTTTGCCTTTCTAATCTTGCCCCTGCATTCCCGTGTTGCTTGCCTATATTCAT